ATTCTACAAGCTAAATGATAGTAAAGGATTACTCTAGACTTCAAAAGCCTTTCAGGAAAATGAATATAGATTAGATGGTTTTAAAACTTACAATTCCACAGATGGGGAGGACAGAGAGAGAGAGAGAGAGAGAGAGAGAGAGAGAGAGAGAGAGAGAGAGGGGGGGGGAGGGGAGAGAGAAGGAGAGAGAGAATTTGGAGTTAGAAAATAGAAGTTCAATGTCTAAATTCATTGCTTAATAGCAGATGACTTTGTGTAACTTACTTAGCATTATCAAGCTCCACTTTCCACACAGAAAATAATAGTTCCCCTTTTCTTGAAGATTTAGTTAAGCGTGAAAAAGCATTTTAATTATAAAAAAATACTGAAGTGTGAAAAAGCATTTTTACCAATAACCATTCCTTTAATAAATATCCATTAAGCCTCTGCTATGTTCTAGACACACTTATAGGCCCTGGAGATATAACACTGGACCTAATTGCTACCCTCATGGAGTTTACTTTAGAGCAGAGAAGGGTAGTCAGTAAATATACTATATAAACAATAATAATGGAAATTTATGTTATTTTACTGTGTATTAAGTAGTGCTCTAAGTACTTTACATGTATTAACTCATTTGGCCTTAAAAATAATCTTTTAGGTAGGTACTAATATTATCATCCCTATTTAACACTAGGAAACTGAGGCACACAGTTAAGTAACTTGTTTAGTGTAACACAGCAAACAGTGGCAGTTTTTAAAACCTGGCAATCTAACTTTGGAGATCATATGCTGAATCAATATGCTATCCTGCCTTACTAAATATGATAGAAGAAAAGTAGATAGGATAAGGTAGAGAGAAGGAGTTCTGGTTTGGGTAGAGAATGTCAAGAATTCACATAGGGTGGTTGAGTTAGTCTTCAATGATAATAAGGCAGTTAAGTGGAGACTTGGAGAAAGCAAGAGATTACATTATACATGGGAAGAACATTCCAGGCTGAAGGAGCCACAAAAGGCCCTAAAAGAAGAGTGTAATTGGCATATTCGAAGGACAGCAAAGATATCAGGTGCTTAGAAGATATCAGGTGCTCAGAGACAGATGAGATCAAAGAGGTGCGAAGCCACAGTTACATTGGGTAGCACTTCTAGTGGGTATGCTGTCAGACAGAGGGAGTCCTTTGTATATCTGTGGGGCCATTTGATTGCCACAGTGACTGACTGAGGTGTGGAGGAGGACGAATAGGATTTAGGAAGCAGGGGTAGGGACACCAGATATCTTGTAGTGTGTAAGATGCACATATACAATGAGTAATTGTACCATAGGCTTAATAATGTCCTCATGCTTAAGACCTATTGCAAATATAAATTAGTAGCTTAAAATAAGAAGTTATACAAACACTATAAATTAGTATATTTTTCCCAAATTAAAATGAAATAAAAACATTGTCTAGAAATTATTTAAAAATTTACTGAGTAATCCATCTGTTCCATTTGTCTTAAATTCCTACTTAACTGTAACTGGGTTTAGTAAAGTGATTTAGTTACTATATTAAACCAGCTGCAGATATGTAACTGGAGATTCGAGATTCCTTTTTAATTGTTAAATTAGTACAGATATAAAAAAACATTTGTAATATCAGTGCCTACATGGGACAAACATGGATTGAAGAAGCTAATTGCCTTTGTTTTAAAATATATCTATGTATGAGAATACCTATAGGATGACGTTATAATATGCGAACTTAATTTATAAAATTTGTTGCCCTCTATATGTTATTAAATTTTTAATATCCTAATAATAAGAAATCAATATTATATAAAGTATATATGAAGATATTTTGGGATTGCCTCTTGCATTGTAAGAATGGGCAGTGTTGCATAGGGGTTAAAAACATAGGCTCCAGACTCAGTCTATTTGGCTTTGAATGCTAGCTCTGACACCTGCTATCTGCACAACTTTGAGAAAATGACCTCACTTCTCTGTATCTGATTTTGACATACGTAAAAGAGTGATAATGAAAGCATTTATCTCAAAGGATGTCTGTGAGGAATTAATGAGATATTATATGCAAATATTTTTACCATAGCCTGGCAAATGGTAAATGCCACATAAGAGTTTTGTATTATTGTTGCTGTTGTTGTTTATACCACAACTCAATCCCTCCGTAGAAGCTCAAATTCATATTTCTTTGTCCCCCCCACCCCATTCCCTGTTATCTATCCATAGATACTCTTTCTAGGATCTTTTTAAGTACTAAAGACTAAAAGAGGTAGAGTCTTATTTCCCCACCCCTTGAAACTGGCCTTGTGATTTACTTTGACCAACAGAGTGTGGCAGAAGTGATACATGGGGCCTAGGCCTCACTAGGCTCATAGGTTCTACCTTTGCTCTCCTGGAATGTTCTCCTGATGCTGCCATGTCATGTAGCTAGCCCAGTGGGTCTATCTTTCAGAGCATAAGTGGAAACCTACAGGAAGATAGAGGCCCCCTAGCCAGCAGCCAGCACCAACTACCAGACATGTCAGTGAGGCCATCTTAAACCTTCTCACCCAGCCGATCTTCCAGTTGATTGCACCCACACGAGAGCCCTGGGGAAACAAGTAGAGGAATCACCTAGCCAATCTTCAAAATTATGAGAAATAATAAATCCTTGATTTTTAAGTCTTTGAGTTTGGGGGTGGATATTATACAGCAATATCCTACTGATTTAAATGTTTTGATATACAATGGTATTTCAAGCGTAAGATATGCCATCTGTGTTACTTTATCGCTCTCCTGTCCCATGTCAAAGCATAAGGAATTGTTCTCACCCTCAAGTTATAAATTAGGATCAGCTCATTTACAATATCATACATTTTCATTAGTTCCACTTGGACAATTTATAATTAGTCTCATCATGTTGTCTCACTTAAGTTACTGTTATTTTCTTATACCTCTTATCACCCATAATAAATCCAGTCTGTTATTATTTACCCTGAATACTAGATTAGAGGCTGGTGTCTACCTGTTCTCTCATTTTCCTTGAACTTTTTAAACTAAATGTCTTCTGAACTACTTACTTCTTTTTAATCCAAGCTTTTTCATTGTGACAATGCACAGGGTACCACTTTTCTATATCTTTTTTTTTTTTTTTTACAGTGGTTTAAGCATTATAGATTACTTTTTTTTTTTATAAATGGCTTTCTTTTTAATTCTCCTTTAAATTACATTATTAGTATTATAGTAGTTATATTTAAATTTGGGGAAATTAGTGTGTAAGTATAAGATATCATTATTGAATATTATTTTAATATAGTAATGATGTTATAATATGTTTGTTGTGGAATAAATATTTAGGGTCTGATAGGGTCTGAACCAATGTTATGAAACCTTTTAGGTCATTGTAAGGATTGGCTTTTACTCTTTGTCATATGGGTTATTACAGTGTTTGGGCAGAGGATTTTTAGTATTACACTAGCTGAATGTAGAGAATGATTATGGGGTTTGACTTCTGAAGCAGAGGGGTCTAGTTAGGAAGCTATTGCTGTAATCTAGGAAAGAGATGATGGTATTAGAGTGGCAACAGAGGAGATGATGCAAGTAGATATATTTTGAAAGTGGGAGGTAGGCACTAGGATTATTTTATGAACTGGATGTGAGCAGTGAGAGAAAGAAAGGAGTAAAATATAGTTCCATGTTATCTGGGCTTGAATCAACATGAAAAATGGACTTGCTATTTCCTGAGATGGAAAAGAATGTGGCTAGATTAAGTGTGGGGTTTTGAAAATAATCTAACATGATGATGATAAATGTTACCTGTGAAGGGTTGAGCTTTCATTTTACTTTTGACTATAGTAATAGCTATATACATACCAAAGACGACCATTGAGTGAGTGAGCAAATACACTGACAGATGTATGAATACATCCATGATACGAGAGACTTTTCCAACTGCATAATCCTACCCCTGAAAGGATGAGTGAATACATCCTTTCAGGGGTAGGATTATGCAGTTGGAAAAGTCTCTCGTATCATGGATAAGAAACCAGGGGCTTAGATCAAGGAGCAAGATAGTGGCAAATCACAAACTAAAATTCAAGGAGTCTTATTTCTGGTTCAGTTTTTTTCTTTTTCAAAATATTTTTCAACATACTGTCTCTTTAGTTTGACTTAAGGTAGGAAGAGCATGGATGAGGCAGTAGAGGGTTTAGAATATCAAGCTGAGATGTGCACGTTATGCCAATGATAAGAGAATCATTGGAAATTTTGAGAAAAAGAGTAGCATACATGATCAGAATTCTGTTTAGAATGTGGCTGATGTGTGGTTGATGGAATGGGTGGGAAGGATTGGAATTTGGGAGATCAATTGGGAGCTACCGCAGTAATCTGGAAAGATGAAATGAAGGACTGAAGTAAATCTGGGAGCTATGGAGATATAAAAGGAAACAATGGCTTCAGTATATCCAGTAGGAGACCCCTGGGTAGAAAGCCAGAAGGAAAACCCCGGGGTTTTTATCCAAGCAACTCATTTATCTTCTCTGACCATCATGAGAAGCTTGAACAAGAATTGATCTTTAATGTATTTTTGACTTAAAACAATCTATACATTTGTCCTATTCTTCCAAGTATGTATAGCATGAAATCACATTATAAGTCCAAAGCACTAAACTCAGAGGAATATCAAGAAAAAAAGAACCTTCTTAGCAGTTCTTATTTGAAACTCACTGACTTTGCATATTTTTCTCTTTGTTCTTTCTAGTACTTGCAACTACGATTCAACAAACCAGTTCGCTATGCAGCAACAGTTATCTACATTGTGCAGACGGTAAGAGTAAGGGCTGTTGCTGATGTAATGTGGGGTGATAAGATACAGATTTGTTTATTTCAGGGGATAGTTAACTCAATTAAAGGAGAAGCTTAATAGTAAGCTTCTGAATTGCTGTATGAGTCACAAAAATAAAGCTCTGAAAGTAATGCAAATGAGTTACTTGGTTTTGCCCACATGGTTCCACATACTCCATTTGATTTCTGTTCATTTGTTTGTTTCTTTTGTTTTTTAAGAGGAAATTACTTTTTTTCAGGGATAACGTTTTCCAGATATATGATTACATCAAGAGCTGTACATTGCATATACCCACATGTATGCCATAAACCGTAAAGGAAAAAAAAAAACATTTTCTTAAAATTTATTTAAATTGTTATTTAACCTGTGCAATTTGCTTTGGATATGAAGCTAAAAAATGATCTGTTCATTGGGTTTTTTTCTTCCTCCCTCCCTCCCTCCTTCCCTTACATCTTCTTCCTTCCTTCCTTCCTTCCTTCCTTCCTTCCTTCCTTCCTTCCTTCCTTCCTTCCTTCCTTCCTTCCTTCCTTTCTTTTCTTTCTTCTTACTAGTTAACTGAGTTGAACCAGAAATACCCATTCTGCTGAAAATTATTTTAAGACAATATATTCACCAGTATTCCCATTTTCCTTTTGGGACTCTATTCTCGCCTCCCAGTTTCTGGGGTGCCTTCACATAGCCTCAAGTTTGCCTGTGGCACACCATTTGTGTGTTTCCTACAACTCATGAAGTACTTTCTGCTAAAAGATAACCTTACTCCCATTTTTTTAAACCAAAATTCCCACTCATTGACTGAAGGATCTGAGATACAGAAAAAGAGGAAAACAATGTTTATTGACCTATCCATAGGTATTTGCCTTTTAAAACTCCCACACAAATCTTTAAATGGTGAAATTCTATTTAAAATAAAATGGGACTGCACCTGCTTTCTTCCGTGTTGTGGTTGTGATTCTGTGAGTTAGAAGGTCTACTCACTGGGTAGACCAACGTAGGTCACCTACGTTATTAGTCTTCTCTGCACAGTGCTTTCTCCTCACAGATGCTTTCCATCTCCACTTTGAAATTCATATTTCACCAAACTGCTAAATCATATTTGTATCATTATGATATATGCATGAGGGGAGAAGAGTAGAGAGAGGATGAAAAAATACTTACCTTGAAGCCTATTTTTCTAACCTTCAGAAATATACCAAATCCAGACATAAAATCTCATAATTTGCAGTGATCTTAAAAGCCCAACCCTCTTCCTCCATCTAATGCTTATATCCCTTCTGCATTCCTATATGCTTGTATCCCTTAGTTATACGAATTCCCCAAATTCAAAAATAGAGTGGATAGGAATGAAATGTTTGCTAAACAAGTTGAAGGACATGCATCTCTAAGGTCTATAAAGAAATTTCTAGGCCACTTTCCCTTTTATGTCACTTTTCTCACTGTTCGCCTAATTCTTGTTTCTCCATCAGATTCTCTACACAGGAGTGGTGGTGTATACTCCTGCTCTGGCACTCAATCTAGGTGAGTTATTTTGGGTACATTGCACTATGTTTATGCCTGTATTCTCACCTTGAGAATTATAAAACATCTTGGGCAGACATTCCTTTGTTTAGAGTGCTCTGAATTACTGTAGGGGTCACAAAAATAAAGCTCTGAAAGTAATGCAAACAATGAGTTACTTGATTTTGCCCACATGGTTTCAAATACTCCGTTTGATTGTTGTTTGTTTGTTTCTTTCTTTTGTTTTTTAATCACTGTAATTATGGTAGTCTGGGTATTGTATATGCACAACCTCTAAGTAAGGTCTTCTGTAATATATGGTGATTTCTTAGCAATTTCACGAAGTAGATAATCTGAGTACTATAATAAAAGGTGATTGTAGTAAATACTTTAAGATTTATACTTGACTTTTTTGAGAGAATAGAATCCTGAAAACTAAAAGGAAAAAAATAAAATAAATGTCATAACGATACCTATAATATTGGAAGTCTTCAATATTCAATTTAATCGTGCCATCTACTTACATTGAGAAATAGTAGTTCAAGGCTGATGTTTAATTTGTTTCGAAGTACCAGGACTAAGTTTGTTTAGAAAAAAAACAAACACAAATAATTAGTGCAAAGATCGGAAGCTCCAGAATTTTAGCAGGAAAAATTTAGCTTTTAATATTACATGAAATTTATGGACTGAGTTGATGTATAATAATATAATAAACTAATCTTTATCAGAAGTGAGAAAATTTAATAAGAAAAAAACTAAGTTGATTTTCATTTGCCTGCAAAGAACATTAACAAAAATGTCATGACTTTTTCTTTGTAAACCTGTTCTTTTACTTCCTTCAAAAAATTTTCTTTACTATATTTTTTTTTTCCTTTTGTAGTGACTGGGTTTGATCTTTGGGGCTCTGTGTTTGCAACAGGAATCATTTGCACATTCTACTGTACTCTGGTATGTATCTAGCTGTGAAAAAGGATTTAGCGCTATCTCCTAATTTGAGATAAGGGCAAATCTCCAATAACAGGACATCTAAATATAGCAGAAATTGCTATTCCAAAATTAAATAGAAGTATGCTAGCTTATCTGTTACAGTTTCCTGAGAGAGGTGCTGTTGTTTTATTTAAAATTATTTTTAGTATCAACCATTAGTGGAATTTAGACTCTGAGCTCTTTTGAGAAAGCCACAGCTAAGAAAAGATTTAATGAAAGAAATATCTCCTGATTAGAAGATTAGGTGACTAAATGCAACTTCTGAAAAAAAAAAATTACTCATTAATAGTGATTATAAAACCAGTGTCTACTGATTGAGAAATATAAAATACATGCATGACTGATCAAGAATGGCTGATATTTTATAAATCTAAGCATTTCACTGCTTGTTTTTGTCTGTTATTTATGGATTAATTTAGATTACATTTAACATTTGGCTTTACACATCTCAATTTTTAAGGGAGGAACCTGGTTGGTATTGGCAACATATTTATATAATTGTTATAATTAGTTTAGTTCAGCAAACATTCATTGAGCACTTGTTTGTCCTGCAACGAGAATCTTCATTATTCTGTCATTGGCATCATACGTGGAGGCTCTAAGTATCCAGTTAAGAATATGGCAATGGTTCTCAATAGTTGGATTTTCTTTTCTCTTCCACAGAGAAAAATAGAGTACTTGATATATTATCATATAGCAGACCATACATATATATTGGCATTATGTGCATACCACACACTATTTTAACATATGTCATGATCGTATACAATTTAAAAATGCCTTTAACTCTTTTTCATACTTGCAAATCCTGCCTTTTTTTTTTTTTTGCACTACAAAGTTATATCTCAATTTGTTTTCATTCCATTCTCACTACCATACCATTCTATTCCAGACACACGAATCCTCCCTAGGTTAAAAATAGGCTCCTGCTCCATAAGCATCTGGCCTTATCTGACGGATTAGTGCTGTGAGGTACCTGCCAGTAGAACGATAACTGGATGTGTTGCTAGGGATGCTAAAGGCAGACTTTTTAACAACAATAATGGAAGCCAGAAACAGTGAAATAACATCTTCGAAGCACTGAAGTAAAGCAATCATCGACCTATAATTTGTATATTAAGCAAAACTATATTTTGGGAGCTGACTGTCAAAAACCAAGATAATTTACCACTAATAAATCTTTCCTTGAGAAGGGAAGAAGGAAAATTATCCAGTTTTAGACGGAAGAAGTAATGATAAGATAATAAAATAGGAAACATTTAGTAAATCTAGTCAAATAATTTTTGGTGCTTAATGACAACAATAAATTAATGAATTTATAGTATAGTATAATTTATATAATATCTAATTATATATCATAATTTATAATATTATAAAATATAATAATTATTATATGCAATGTTAAGATTAAGAAAAGGAATAACCTCCAATGGAACAACAATAGAATGTAAAATCAGGAAGCCTGCAATCAGATGTAAAGACTTTATAATCCTCAAATTGACATTTCTTAAATATAGACCCAAATAAATAATTTCAAAGCAAAGTTTCAAAATGAACCCATTTAAATAAAATGGTCAAAGTGGAAAATGGAATTAAAACAAAACTTCGGTTGATTTAAACAAGAAAAGGAAGAGAAAAAAAGCATAGAGAAAACAGAACAAATACAGACCGAAAAGTAAGATGTCAGAAACAAGTCCAGGTATTTTAACAATCACAATAAGCTAAAATGAACCAAATTCACACCCTTTAACTGGTTTCAGTGCTTCTTTCTACCCTGCATGCCTCTGTCAGATTAATCTTCTTAAAATGTCCATTTTTCTTCATGCCAATTGACTGACATAATTCCCTTTTGCTTCCCATTGTTTACAGGATAAAGTATAAGCTTCTTAGCTTAGTGTTGGAAATCTTTCATTATGTGATGAAATCTACCCATCTAATTCCTTCTCACCACACCTCTGTTCCATCTCTCTCTCTAGCCAGGTTAGAGGTTTCAATGTCTTACTAATATAATAGCTTATTTATCTAACACTTTTGCTCATATTGTACTCTTTTTACACTGATAATCCTATAGATGCGTAGCCTAAAATAATTAGTGGAAGAGATTTAAAAAATAAGAAATGATTCCTGGCATCAAAGGGTTTTCAATCCAGTGAATTAAGCACTAGATCTAAAACCACACAAATTAATTAAACATTTAAGTGACACTCAGGGCACAATCAGGGTTATAGATCAGTGGTGTGTGTGTGTGTGTGTGAGTGTGTGTGTGTGTGTGAGTGTGTGTGTGTGTGTGTGTGTGTGTGTGTGTGTGTGTGTGTGTTGCTGTATGAAGGAGTCAGAGTCAGAGCAATGTTCATGGTGGCTATAATCTGTCTTTTAATGAACATTTGATAAAATGTTTTTTTCTCTTGCCTCATGTCTAGGTGTTCAGGTTTACGCATATTTTTGCATAACCAATGTGAAATAGCCTCTGAAAACTGAGGTCTTTGACATTTGGTCTTCATATCACTAAAATCTGATGTTCAGATTTGGGTTTGGAAATCTAAATGTCTTTAAAGAAAATCAAAATACTACTCTTTGGGAGGTGGGAGGTAAGAAATTTATTATTTCTCAAATCAGGATTTGAACAGAATATATAAATACAATGCCTCTGGCAGGAACTTTAGTATTTGGTTTTTTAAAACTGCATTTTAATTTCAAAAGAAATAGTGGGATATCCCCAACATCATCTTTCTTCTCAAGATAAAGAAGAAGCCTGTCATCTTTTCAAATAAGTTTTCGACACTCCGGAGGAGTAACTGGGGAAGATAATTCTATTTTTCATTATTAAAAATACCATGTCTTTTCATTCTCATAGTGCTGTTCATTTTCAAAGCATTTTAAAATATATTATCTCATTTACTCTTTTCCAATTTACTCATTCCACCTTCACCAGAGTCCTAAGCGATTCTATACCTAGATTATTCCATCAGCTTCTTTCTTTCCTCTTTTCTTCTTATCCACATGTTCTCAACTAGAACGAATCTCAACTAGAATAAGTCTCTAATGGTTTCTTATTGCTCTTGAGAAATCATTTAAGTAGCCTTATACACTGGAATCACTTGTGGAACTTTCAAAAAACATCGATGACTGGTTTTTGCCCCCAAACCTACGTTTATTCAGAATCCCTGGGGATAGGTCTTAGATATTGTTTTGTTTATTTGTTTGTTTGTTTGTTTGTTTGTTTTCAAACTCCCCAAGTGACTCTAAGGAGGTGCCAGATTTGATAACACAGCTCTGGCCTCTTGCCCAATCACACAGTCCTGTGTTCTGTGAGATCCAGCCTCCTGGACCTTGGTTTGCTCGCTTCCCTATTTGACCATCTTCCAGATCTTAAAACTCCTTTTCTGTAAATGTCTGAAATCTAGCATTTACCTAGTTATTTTTTTCTAAGTATTTTCCCATCTCTGTTTTCCAAATTTTATTCATTGTCAGTAGTTTTACAAAATATCTCAAGTTGTACAAGCCAGACATGATTATCCTGAGTTTTGTACCTCATCATCACATGTACCCAATTAAACACAAACTATGTTGATTTTGCAGCCCAAATATCTTTCAAATTTATCAGCTTCTTTGTATCTCTCCCCTCAGACTGCTGTCATTTTGCACGTGGACTACTGAAATAAACCCTGAGCTGGTCTCTCAACTCTTTTTCTTCTATGGTCCTTGCAATTCATTGTCCACATAAGCACCACTGAAACTACTGTGAAACAAACAAACAAAATCTTTCATTATATAAATATCTTTAATGCTCCCTTATTGCTCTTGAGAAATCATTCAAGCTGCCTTGTCAAAATTTGTGTGTTCTGGCCTCTAGCAAATTCAGAAACCTTGCTTTGGGCACTATATATTCCTCAATCTCTTTATCCTAGCTTTCTTTCATTTCTTCAGACAGCCATGCTTCTCCTTCCTTCACACATGCTGCTCTCCTCTTTGTTCTCTGTACCTGGTAAATCCCTACTCATTCTTCTGAGCTTAATGCAAATGCCACTTCTCAAGACCAGGTCAGGACTCCCTCCAACATGCTCCAATAGTAGCCCATCCTTCTTAATTGCACTTTTCACTATTTTAAGTAATTAGCTACATTATTGTCTGGAATCCGCTTCTCCCTCTAGATCATAAACTCTGAAATTAAGCAAGAAATCTGTCTCTCTTATTTACCATTTTATTGCCATGCTTAATATAGTACTTGGCACATAAAAGATGCTCAGCATCTGTGCTGTAAGGAAAGAAAGAAAAAAAGGAAAGAAAAAGAAAACAAAGAATCACATTAGCAGTGAGATTGTGCAGAATCAGAAGGGTTGCATGCTTAATTTTTAAGAACTCACATCCATTCTCTCCGTTTCAGGGAGGATTAAAAGCAGTGGTGTGGACAGATGCATTTCAGATGGCTGTCATGATTGTGGGCTTCTTAACGGTTCTCATTCGAGGATCAGCTCAAACTGGTGGATTTCACAATGTGTTGGAGCATTCATTAAATGGATCTCGACTCGATATGTTTGAGTATGTCCAATACTACTTCTTCATGTTTTGTAAAGACTTAGCTGCCTAACTTCAGCATCCAAAATAATATTGGAGTATCAGAGAAACACCTTTGTTCACTCACTTCTCTCTGCCTTGTAGCTTTGATGTAGATCCCCTCAGGCGGCACACTATTTGGACAATTGTGATTGGAGGAACTTTTACGTGGCTTGGGATCTATGGAGTTAATCAGTCAACCATCCAGCGATGTATTTCTTGCAAAACAGAAAAACATGCCAAACTGTAAGTTATTTATAAAGAAACCTTTCTGTTTTTCTCTGCCCTTATTGAGTACTTATATGCTTCCTAATGTTGTGTGTGTGTGTGTGTGAAAGAAAAATTAAAACCAAGAGTCATTGAACCTTTCCAACAATATTTTGAGGCAGGAATTACTAGTCTCATCTCAGCAACAGAGTGATAGAGCTGGGGTTTGAACCTAACTCAGTCTGCCTTTGCTCTCCACATTTGTTGCCTCCATTTATTGAGAAATTACTAGGTTAAATTATCTGCTATGGGTAGCAATGCAGAGGTAAACAGCACAAATTTCTCACAGTTTCTGTGATGAGATGACTCTTATCACTTATTTGATTCGGCATGTGGTTTCTTCAACTATTGTTTTCCTTTTGATGCATATGCTTTTAAAATTTCCAAGGAGAGATTCCAATGTCAGGAGACAGGTCCTAATGAGGCATTAGCCACTCCGACTCTTGCCAAGATGGCCTTGCCAGCCTTGCTTACTCCGAAGGACTTTAGCAGGCAAATAGCTTGTCAAACCTCTTTCAAGCCCTGCAGGTCATCCCAAACTGCAGAATGTGGACCTGCCTAATTTCTCCCTATTACTACATTAGTACCTGAAGTTAAGAAATGTATCTTTTTTATCATTATTAAACAAAATAATACTTTAAGAAGATCATGCTTGTATTTGTATATGTATAAGCACATAAATGAACACACATTATGCATACATTTAATTGCCTGGCCAGAATGCTAATTACTCACTAAAGACAAATTCATCTTAAGCCAGATCTTCCTCACACCTGGGAATAATATCACTTACTAAGTCATTTTAGATATGTTCTCTGGGAGCTGGCTTGGACTTCTTTTGTTTCTAGATCCCCTTTTATCTTTCAGGACTGCAAGTTATCAGGTCTCTTCTCAATACCTTTCCATTTCCCAACTAAGATGAGAATATCCACACTCAGTCACTTTTTTCCTCATTCTCATCGTCATTGTTTATTTTCTTTATATTTCTTATCATGGCTAAAATAATCTCATTAATTTATTTCATCTCAGCCATTATTATCTGCCTCCAGTCCCAGACTATCACCTTCGTGAGGGCGGGTTTCGTGTGCTCTCTGCTATATCCCAAGTCCTTACAAGAGCCTGATACATAATGATACATAATGAATATTATCTGAATGAATCGATGAAGTGGCTTAAGTTACAACCAAGAGAATTAACCTTGTCGAGAATTAAAGTTTATTTCTAATAAAAAATAAATTCATAATGCAAAGATTTAAAATTCTATACGATTTTGTCATTGATTTCTCATTTTCTGTATTGACTGGTGAAGTTTTAAAATTGTTTTGGATAATGTATCGATGTCCTCTATGTGGCTATGGAACCTACATATATTTGTACAGAGTGTACCTCATTTAATCCTCATTAGTCGTATAATAAGAAGTAAGTCAGGTGTGTTATACTCTCTTTTACAGATGATATATCTGGCTCATAGTGTTAGTGGCTTGTCTTAGATCACATGGTTGTTAAGAATAGTCTTCTGATTCTAGGTCCATTGCTCTTTTCAAAAAAGAAATAATGTAGAGAGTGTAATTATATTGCAATGACTTTCTACCATTTTAAATTTATTCATTCAATTATTTATTACCAAAAGTAAAATAACTTATGTCTACTATGTGCCAGCACTAATATGCTCTGAGCACCTAGCACTGAGTAGGGGAAACAAATAATAGAAAATGAATACATTACACAATTTCAGATAATGACAAATGCTATAAAGTTATAAAGCAGTATAAGAGGTAGAAACTAATAAGAGAGCAGAGAGTGGCTATTTCAGATAAAGATGGTTAGGGAAGCTTCTCTAGGGGACGGTCTGAGTAAAAGCTTGAATAGAATTTTCCTGAATAGAGGGATAGCAAGAGTACAACCAAGGCAATGAATAGGAATTGACCACCTTATGTATCGATTGTATCCCCAAAAGGCTCTCTCTAAGTCAAGCCACTCCAAACAAAAACTAACGAACGAATAAAACTCAAAGATAAACATTATTGGCATACTCCCAAGGGAGTAATTTCTGCGATGAGATCCTTTTCTAATGTAAATAACATAAAATAAAAACTTATGAATGGGATAAATTTTAACATATTTGCTTCATAAATAAATACTTTGATTTAAGAGTTTTCTGAAAATTAGGTACACCTGTACAGTATAGGTTTTAAAGGACTTTGAAATGAATATCTCTTCTTACAATTGAATGTGGATGCGTCTAATTCCTTTCAAACAATGACTGGATCCAAGAAAATGCCCATGTTGTTCTCTTGGCCCCCCCTGCAACACTCTCCAGAATGAGATTGTTTATTCTCTCAGATCAATGTAAGGCCGGTCTACTTTCAAGTCTTCCCTGAGATTAAGAAAATGAGTAATATTTAGACTTTCAAAGAACAGTAACAAATACAAAATAATCATAGGATACTGAAAAAACAGTCAAACTGGAATTAAGCATATCTGTGTATTGTAGAATAAAAATAATTGCTCCAAAAAATATGGGTAAAATGACCTTAGATTTTTCATACTTTTTATTATCTTAAAAAAAACTCAACTCTAAATTTTATCTCAATTAGTCTCCGGAGTGAATATTTTCAAAATTTGTCTATATCTACATTTATCTCCTTATCCCTCTGGAACAAAAGATGTTAAAATGTAAGTTGGTTTTTTGACAGTTTCATAAACTGAGTGAGGGGAACATCATTTGAAGTTACATCATTCGAAGTTACATAATATAAGTGATTATTATGTAAAATTTCATCTAAGAAAATAGATCTCACACATACATTGAGGCTTTGCAGAATAACTAGTTTCAAAAGAAAGTCTATCAAAAATCTACCTCATTCAAATTTCTTTTCCTTTTTTTTTTCTTTTCTTTTTTTTAGGCAAGGCAACCCTTTGTTGACCTCACGGATTGCAAGGACCTTGTCAGCTTACAGTCCCTTATTTTTTATTTTTATTTTTTACACCTATAGCACCTGATCTTCCTAGGTGGTCTCTCATCCAAGTACTAACCAGACCCTACCCTGCTTAGCTTCCATTCAAATTTCATAATCAGTCTAAGAATGTAATGTTCTCAACCAAAAAAAAGAAAAAAGCATAATGAAAAAAAAGTATAATAATTCTTGAAGGCTGCAGAATTTTATTGTCTAGCAAAAAGACCCAAAATTTTTTACCTTGAGACTTTGGTGATGACCTCCCCACACTCTAATATGGCATAGAGGCTACTAATAGACCCATGTGTTCTTTTCTAGAGCCTTATACTTTAACTTGTTGGGTCTCTGGATTATTTTGGGGTGTGCTATCTTCTCTGGCTTAATCATGTACACCTACTTCAAAGACTGTGACCCTTGGACTTCTGGCATTATCTCAGCACCAGACCAGGTACGTATTCCCTTGGAGCCTGTGGAATGGCTGAAATGAGCGGATTTCTGGCCATTGATAGGTGATGTGGGGTCTTTCTCTTTTCTACCTGGACCTCCTGCCACTTTCCACACCCCAAGGACTCTCCTCTTGGGTGATATCACCACACATTAAGTTCTAATATGACAAAGTGAACATATAAAAAGAAGTTACCTTACTTTGCTATTGAAGACAGGGCCTGGAGCCAGGGCAAGGCTGAGGAGAAAGGAAGGTGGACGTGAACCTATGGTTTTGGTTGTCAATGGTACCTTTCAATTCTTTTTTATATATCTGAAGGTTGATTAATAAATGCTTTCATCTTAAATTGAACAAAATGACCCTTATTTCTATAATACTGCTTCTGTTCATGTCTTCTCATCTCAGCTTAAACGACATCATCCTTTTATACTACATTAAACATGCTCTTAAAAACTTTATTTATGGGGATTATACTGGAGGAGCACTTTTTATATATAGTCAACTGTCTCACTTTGTTTTTTTGGGGGGCTTCTTTCCCACAAATCTGCCTACAGAGTAGAACTATAGCACCTATATTCTCTGAAGATCTATTTTAAGCATATATTTTTAGAGTTTAATTGCTAACCCTAAGGGTAAACAGGCAAGAAAATAGCATACATTACAAACAAAAGACAAATTTTAAAAGTTTCTGAAACTTCTAAAATTCATCCAACCCTTTTTTCTAATATTGACTGTACCCCTCCCCATCTCCTATAGCTGGATCTCAGATTAATGGAACTGGATTGATCATTACCTTATTTGCCAGCATGTAATAGCCTTAGTCTATGCAAACTCCTCTATTATTTATTTTGTATTTTTTTCCTTTATTTTCACCTTTTTTTTTTTGTCTTAAAAAGCTACATTCCCACATTTTGAACACTGCTAATGAGACCACTAATCCTATGTTGTTTTGCTTCCTTTTCAGTTGATGCCATACTTTGTCATGGAGATATTTGCCACAATGCCCGGATTGCCAGGACTCTTTGTGGCTTGTGCCTTCAGTGGAACTCTGAGGTTAGTATTGACAAAACTGCTGTGATGATAATAATGATGACAACCAGGATAAAAGGATGATAGTAATAGTGAATCGTCAGTATTTACTGAGTACCTAACTGTGTGTCAACTTCTCTGCTGAATGCCATATTTGTATTTGCTCAATAGTTGTTACACCATGTATATATATATTGCTCATGTTTTCATCAGTTTGTAGATATGGAAACTAAAATTTAGCAAAATAAATAACTTACCCATGGTGACCCATGGTGCAGAGGCAGGATGAAAACCTAGGTCTGCCCATATGCTAGACCTCTCTGTTTATTTTCTCAACATTTTTCCATGCCAGCTGCCCTCATAATTTCACATCACTTTCACACAAGATAGCTCACTCTCATGGCATTTACTATTCAGCTGCAATGTATTTCTGCAGATCTATCCTTTGCAATCCATACCCCCCATCTTCAATAGCACACTCAGGTAGCTAATAACTTCCATCCCGCACATATAGACATTATTCTAAATAAAAAATTATTCATATATTTATTCTGACAAATATTTTAGAAAGTCTATATTATGCCAGTCACAGTCAGTGGCAGTGGAGATACTGCAGAGAATGAGACTGATGTAAGCATTGCCCTCAGATAGAGTTGGCATTCTAATTTACATGGAAGATGAATAATATATATGTAAACAAAATAAACAAGATATTGTTTGATAATGTACAATAGTTTAAAGGAAATAACAGTGATATCTTTGAGATTAGTGAGGACTGGGGGTTTGATTTTTAATAAGCTCTTTAGAGACCTCCTCTTTGAGTATATGACATTCGTATTGAGATCTAAAGAAGCCAGCTATGTGAAGAGCACAGGCAAACTTTACAGGCAGTGGAGAGAGCAAATTCCAAAGCTCCAAGAGAGAAATTATATGGAGTATTTTAAGAACAAGGAGAAGAGCTGAAGAAAAATGAACTGGGAGAAGAGCAGATGGGGATGAGTTTGAAGTGTGAACAGGCATCTGATCATGCAGAGCCTTCATGAAATGGTAAAGAATTTGAACTTCAAATTAAAAGGGAAGGCAATTGAAGGTTTGGAGTAAGGGACTGAGTGATGTCATACAATTGAAAACTGTTTTCTAGGTGGGGAAGAGACTATAATAAAAGCATGAGTGGTGAAAATGAGTGACCAGTTAGGAGGTATTTGTCTTAATCAAGGTGAGAGATGATAGTGACTTGGAGATAGGTAAGGACAACAGTATTGAAAGCAATATACTAAAACATTAAAGCAGCGCCATTACTTCCCTTTAAGCCAGACCCTCTGCTTTTACGAATCAGAGACTCGGCTGGTGGGAAAAGTCTTATTTCCCTTCCTGGAGCTCAAATGCAAAGAATCAATCATAGGATTGATCAGCGTTAAAATTCAAACAGTATCAGGGGATAAAAGTAAAAACTTTTATCTTATTTCTTAAATCCTTTGTCTCACTCCACAGAATTAATCACTCACTAATTTCTTGTTAATGAATCAGAAAATTTCTTCGCTTACGTGAACATATATACCCTTTAGTGTATAGAAAAGAGATTACGTTTTATATACTGCTTCATTTCTTTAAGTTAATATGATTTAGAAATCTTGCATATCAGTAGACCTAATTTAATTCTTTTTTTAAATCTACTATAATTTAATTGATCATCCTTTAACATAAAGCATAACAACAATGCTTATGTCTTAGTTCATTTGTGTTGCTGTAACAGAATACCATAGATCGGGTGGCTTATAAACAATGGAAATTTATATGTCACAGTTCTCAAGGCTAGGAAGTCAGACCCAGGCACCTGCAGATTCGGTGTCTGGTAAGGCCCCACTCTCTGGTTCAAATATAGCTGTCTTTCTGCTGTATCCTCACATGGTAGAAGGGATGATGGAGCTCTGTGGGGTCTCTTATAAAGTCACTAAACTTATTTAGGAGGGCTCCACCCTCATGACCTACTCACGTTCCAAAAGCCCCACCTCCGAACACCATCACACTGTACATTAGGCTTCAATGTATGAGTTTTGGCAGAACACAAACATTGAGTTCATAGCATACTACATGGTATAGCTTTGTGAAATTGTGCAAGGTGACAAGTAGGTTACAGTCTAAGAACTGGAGTTACTGTGTGAAAACACATATTCATTTAAACTTTTCACGGACATTGCTAAATTGACCTCTAAAAATGTGTATCATTTTACACACTGAAAAGAAAATCAGTAGAGTGCCTCTTTCCTCCACACAACCACTAATACTGGGTACTATGAAACTATTAAACTTGCCATTCTGATTGTTAAAACATAGTAATTAATTTAAATATAAATTCCCTTGATCATAAGTGGGCTTGGCTAACTTTCCCTTCTTTCATTGACCATTTTTTTTTTGTAAAATGCTAATTTATTTTGTTACTTTTTTTGTTTTTTTTATTATCTGTCTGTCCGTCTACCTGTCTACCTGTCTACCTACCTTCCTATCTCTCTCTCTCTATTTATATTAAAGAGCTTATTGACATATGTCTTATTTTTTCTCATTTGTCCTTTATGTATTTTCTTTATTGATAGTATTTTTGAGTATCCAGAACTTTTATTTTATATTAATCAATTATTTTACATTATGGTTTCTGGGTTAATATCGCTCTCAGAAAGGTTTTCTATTCCATTATTATAAATAATTATCCAGACACCATTTATATTTCTGCTCTTATTAAATGTTAAAATTATTAAATCATCTAGACTATACATATTACATAAGGATTTTTTTCCTTATTTTCCTTCTATGGTTGCCACTGTTCCATCATTATTATTATTTATTTATTTTTAGAAAAAAAAAAGCCATCTTCTAACCACTGACTTTAAAAGCTATTTTTAGTACATCCTACATTCTTCTATATATTTGGGTCTTTTTCTTGATTCTTTTCTATATTCCTTTGATCTATCTGTCTACAGCTATGCCAATACTAACAATTTTAGTGACGGTGCTTTAAAATATGATTTAATACCTATTAAGTTCATACTTATTTATTACTTTTCTGTTACAGACTATCCTTGCTATCTAGTTTCTAATTATTTTTCTAATTATTTTCAGTTAATTATTTAGGATTTGATTATACTGAAATCATGACATTTGCAAATATTTTTATGTTTTTTTCTTTTCTAATAATTTCACTTTTATGTTAATTCTCATGTGTTACAGTGTTTTGAGAACAATGAGAAATAAACAATGAGGAAAAATAGCAAAAATCTTGTTTTGTTATATACTTTAAAGGGAATGGTTCTTGTATCTTACCATTAAACATGAATTTTGGTTTTGATTTGAAAGATATTATTTATATTTTAAAATATTTAAAGTTTTAAAAAGTATAAAGAAGAACAAAAACGCATATATTTATTTTACTTTTAGGAAATACTCTTATCAGGGAGAGTATTAGATTTTGGTAAAATTTGGGCATTTTCAAAATGGGTATTTAAAAAATTTTTAACATTTAACATATCAATGTAAATATATTGACACATTTCCAAAATAGCAACCTGTTTGAATTCATATAATAACTGTAACTTGCTAATGGTGCAATTTTAATTTAGTATATTCTTGAACTATTTTTATTAATACTCTTTTTAGAATGCTGCATCACTAATACAAAGTGATATTGTTCTGTGACATTGGTATTAAGATCTCAGGGAAACTAAGGACAGAAGCAATGAGCACTAGAGGATTAAACACAAGTAGGGGTAACGCTCTAGCTTTCATTTTGTCTTTCTCTACGGACTTTATTTATTTATTTTTCTCTTACTCTAAAGTTGACTCTCTCCAGACTGGTAAAATATAGCTGTCAACAAATTAAATCCCCTATAAGGGAATGATCGACTCATTTGAGGTCAACTGCAAACATTCCAAGAAAGGGGCACCCTAGAGAGTATGTATTTAGAGAGATTACTTCTGCTACAATGTTAAGGAAGGTGTTGGGTTAGGAAAGGGAAAGACAAGAGCGGGGGTAGAATAAAGAGATGGTAGTTGAGGGGTAGGGGGAAGAAAAATTTCTACCATCTTATAGCAGTTTTAGAATTTGAGAAATTGGTGTGTGGATAATACACCTGACTCCAAAAGCAACCAAGCAGAGGTTCTATAAATCTGATTCTTCTGGGCCAAATTCAGCTTTTTGTTCCCTTCTTCCCAGTGGATTCAAGGGTTAATCCTAATGTTTGAAACTTTCACGTGATGGATTTTGAGACATATCTGTTGAAAACATGGGACCTCCTTTTATTTGATCATCTCCTTTTCTTATTTGACCTCCACAGAGCTGCAGCAGATAGAAGAGGAGTATTATAGGACATGTATACCAGGCCTTGATTCTCAGGAAACAAGAATGGTACCCCAAAGTACTTAGAGTTTCAATTCCCAGGAATGGGTCTTGGGAAGTTTGTACTTGTTCTGTCTATCATTTAGGGAAGGAACTTTTGAATTTTGCATAAGATGGACCTGAAACTATTCCAACTGAAGTAACCTACAGCTAAAATTAGTGGTATTATTACAGAAAAAAGAAAAAAAAAGTTTAAATTTCCTTTCATGCCTTTGGCACAACTATAATGTGTTTTCAAGTGTGCATTATTGGAGGATAACAAAATAATTAACTAATGAATATCAATGGAAAACTTAGAAACAGCTGGCTAGGCTTTGTTCATCAGTTTGTTTCCTTTCTAGAACTTTTGTTTGTGGGTGAGGGATTTAAATGTAATTTTCGCTTTGTTCTGGAACATCTTTTCCCTATTGCATGGTTCCTTTCAGTGCCTGTCTTAACCATCACTTCCTAAGGGAAGAAATCTCCTACCTCCATATTGGTTTACATCTCTGCAAGATATGCTCTCATAACTCTTTGTTATTTTCCTTCATAACAATTTTTACAATTGTTATCAATAACTTAATCAGTTGTTAAATGTCCCTGTCATTAAGTGGAGTGGGAGATCTTTGTCTTCTGGTTCGCCATTGCATTCCTGGTATCCAGAATGAATAAACAGATGCATGAATGATGTTAATGCATGAATGATATTAATGAATTAATTAATTATTAATGAATAGCCCAGTGTACTGACACCTGGGTTAAAGTAGTCACTACTTCCTGCTTCAAGTCCAGCCTAACCTACACACACAAACACAAGTGCACACGCGATCTCTCTGTTACTGCCTGCTAACTCCTTTAACATCTTGTGAAAGCCTAGCTTCTTCAGTAGAGTTTGTGTAAGAATTGAAATAGCATTAAGCAGTTTTAGGAGTGAGTAGACAGGCCATGTAATTCCTCTGGAATCCCAAAATAAGGGCATATGTCTGTATCGTTTTTTCCCTAGATCCTTGCCTCATCTATATGCCCTGGAAAACAGGGCATGCTGGTGTCTTAGTTTTATTTAGCTTGGACTATGTTCTCCTTTTTCTCTCCCTATAGCACCGTGGCTGCCAGCATTAATGCCTTAGCGACAGTGACCTTTGAGGATTTCATCAAGAGCTTTTTTCCCCATCTCTCCGGCAAGCTGAGCACCTGGATCAGTAAAGGCTTATGTAGGTACAGCTTGTGGATTTTCTATTCCATATCATGAAATATTCTGTGGCATGCATCAAAATCCTGCACATGCTATTCAAGACACACATACAGGCATAAATGCACACTGAGATACATGAAGAATCTCACATATAGATTCTTACACTTATAAAGACACTAGAAGGGTACCAGGAAAGAATGACCAGCTAGTTTACCTTTCACCAACCTTATTTTTGACACTCTTGAGCTCACCCTACATTCTAGATTCATCACATCAACATCACTATTTATTAATCATATTAGTTCCTCTACATGGGAAAATGTTCTGATCATTATGGCAAGTTCTTTTGTCTAAGAAAGCTAAATTCTTTTAGAAAGAATCCTTTATTACCAAACTCCAGTAAACTCACCTCAAAGAATAATTGCTCCTTGCTTAATCATACAATTGCATATTACACTTAAAATCCCGTAGTACTTATCATCTTGAAGTATAGTTTTACAAAGTTTACTTTTTTAAGTATAAATGAATTTTATGCTTGTTTAGTTATAGAAAATGTAGATAATTTGGGAAAAATATATGTACTTTTTAAATAGTCAAATCTATCTAAATTTGTTCCTGGTTGTTGTTTTTTCCAGCATTCTATTGTGAGCATTTTTCGGCATCATTTATGTATTCTTTAAAAACATTTTTCTGAATAATTGCTTAATATTTAACTAATGGCTTATTTCTTCATTTTTATGTTGTTACTTTTTGAATTCTTTTACATTTTTTGTAACATTGTAGTAAAACACATATACATAAATCTTTGACTGCATCTATAATTTTATTCTTTAAGATAACTTTTAAAAAGAAATTACCAGGTCAAATGAACAAATAATTGAGAGTTCTTGATAAATATTAAGAAAAATAGTTCTAGGTAGGTCCAATTAATATTTATGTGTGGCAACAGTGAGTAGTGACATTTTTCTCTATGTATTTTATATTAATATTTTTAAAAATTAGTCAAATTTAATGGGCAAAATAACATCACATTTCTGCTTTAATTTATATTTTTTGATTTATAGTGAATTTGAACATTTTTAAATTGATAAGTAATCATTTGTATATTTCTGTGAAAAGTTAGTTTATTTGTTAATGAGATAATAGAAATTTTGTTTGTAAAAGTTCTTCATATGTAAATGTGGCTTTTGTATATTGTAGAATGTGTCCCAGAGTTTTTAAACTACATTTTTATGTGCAGAAATTATTATTTTATATTTGATCAAATATAGGATTTTTTACTATTTCATCCATTTCTTTATGTTTATAAATTTCTTCCCCTTCAAACCCAATTATATATGTTTTATATTTTCTAGGTTGTAAATAAATTTACATTTTATATTTAATGTTTGATAATTTAAATTATTTGATTTATGATTTATGATGAGGATCTAAATTTTTTCTCTCTATAGCCAATTTTCTCATTATCATTAATCCAATAGTCTTCATTAGTTTTAATATTTTTAGTAATAATAAAATACAATATAAAATTCTTTCAACTCTAAGGATTTGCTTCATATTATATACTTATTTTCATTAAATTATTTCTCAATTGCAAGACTAATACCATCTTATTTTATATCAAAGTTTTGTAGCATTTTATTTAAAAAATATCTGGTAGAACAATTCCTGTCACTTTTTTTGGTTAAAAATTTTTTCTATTGTTAATTTTGAACAAATTTTTTTGGCTATTCATATTTATTAAGTCTTTCAGGTTAACTTTAAAATAATTTATTGCATGTCACTCTCTCCCATCCCAGTGAGATTGCTTTACACCTAAAAATGTATTTGGGAAGAACAGACATCTTTATAAGCTTTCCATCTAGCAAAAGTATTTATTTTTCTCATTTAATAGTATCTTTTCTTCTATCCTACATATTAATTATACTCATGTCTTCCTCCTCCTCCTACTTCTCTCCTTTTCTTCACTCATTGATATTGTGAATGGGATGCCTTCCCCATAATATCTTCTAAACTGTTTATTATCAATGTGGAAAAGCTATAGCTTTTTGTTTTTGTTTTATAAAGCACGTATCTAGCTATTTACCCAACTCTTGTTAATTTAAAAATTTTTAATTGGTTTTCTAGTTAGTATGTTATTGCCTACAAGTGGTAGTTTTATTATCTTCTTATTCTTAAATGTTGTTATAATTTGTGTTGTTTGTTCTCCATATCCTTCACTTTTTCTTTTAATTTTATAAGTTTGTTCTATTCTTCTGTATACTTAAAGGATTTAAGTTTTTTCTCAATGTTACTTTGAGTTATCCACAAAGTAAAGTTTTTAACAATAATGATTTAAATTCTGCTACTATATTTTGTTCCTTATATTTTATTATAAAAATTAAAATCTTACAATAAAGTTTAAAGACTTTTACCTTAAGCTCCCATAAATATACCACCTAGATTCTCCATTAATATTTTCCTGAACTTGCTTTTTCACATATCCATTTAGCTCTCTCTCCATCCATTAATGCATTATATTTTTGATACGTTTAAAATAAATTTTAGACATCAGTACACTTCTGCCTAATTATTTTAGCATTATGTTATTAAC